AATATCCTCAAAACTTTCTTCATCTTACCTTCCCTGGAGATGTCTGGAAGCATCTCTGTGTTTCAGCACTGCCTGAGCAATTCAGCAGAGGTTTCTGCTCACAGTAGATATTGGAATCAGCACAACCTGCCAATCTTTCTTTGCCAATATCTGCCCTCAGCAGGAATGTTGGCGGTCAATGAGTGCAGCGCTTTCCCAGCAGCTGCCAATGCAACTATGCAGGTGGTATTGTGATGGGAAAGAGGGCTGGCAGAAGGAATAACTTGAAGAAATAATTCGGGCAGCTCCAGCTGGCTTTGTCACAAAAGATGTCATTCCAGCACAGGCCATCATGAATGATGGGAACAAACCTTGGGAGAGCAAAGCTCAGCACTGACTTCCTGAGGGAAAAGCTGTTGGTGCTCTGTGCCTGCAGGACATTTATGATTTTTATTATATATGAATATATTGATAAATTATATATAAATATAATTTATAGTTATTATTCTGTGCATAGCCCATCTTCTTGCTGTCTGGTGCTGCTGGTAACAGATATATACATACTGTGGGTATGATCATAACCTACTGAGTTTGAAAATGTCTTCTGCCCTGTGGGAGCCTGCAGAGACTCATTATCTCTGAGAACCTCCAGGGAAAACACCAGAATCCACAAAAGGTGCAAAGCTGAAGAAACCTCGCTTCTGTTTTTGGCAGCTCTTCCAACTGTATCCCAGGCTTGTAATCAGCCCTTTTTCCTGCAAGTGTAGGTGGGAATGATGCTTTGAGTGAAAAACTATAAATTTTGCTCCAAAACAAATTAAAAAGGCTCCTAGCTTTCCTTTTTTTTGGAAGGGAAACCTGAAAGTGAGAAGTTTTAAGTTTTGGGAGAAAACTCCAAAATGATTGATTTTGAAACCTTAAAACTTCCAAGTCCATCTCCTGAGGGATCCAATAAATGGAATGCTGAGTGGCAGTAAAAATTTCAGATCAAATATATGCAAAATGTGGTTAATTTAAAAATGAATCTTTGCACTTCAGATGTGTGACTCTCTGACGTAAACTGATATGATAACAGTGGTTAAAAAAACCCCTGAATTTATTTCAGCCAACAGGGTTTGAAAAGCATTAGCTCAGAGTTTGAGCCCTCAGATGATATTGAGCCTTCCTACTTCCACTGGTGCCATTTTTTTAACAGAAGAAACAGCTTAATTTGACTCTTATCTTCAGAGGCTTAAACAGGAATTTGATCTGAGAGGGCTGTGCAGGTTCCCTTGCCAGTGTTGCTTGCTGTGTTTTATGAGTGCATGTGATGACCTGGGTGACTTCATACAGGCTGTTTACAGCATGATTAGAAAGATAAATGAAACATGGTTAAAGTTGTTAAATTCCAGTGTCCCCTCACTGCACGGTAAGTCATGAACTCTACTGAAAAAAAAAGAAAAATTTGGAAAGTGCATCTCATCTACTAAGGGCATGTCATAATTCCAATAAATGCTTTCTATTACAAGTTGGTTTTGCATCTGCTTACGAAAAATGAACTGAAATTGTAAATCATTCTGTAAATCCTAACTGGAAACAAAATGTCTGAGTTCTGAAACCAAAAGAGATGTATTTAGATCACCAAAACTTTTATTCCATGGAATTCAGAAATAAAGTTTTTAAAAGACCCCAAAGCCAGAAAACAACAAACAACAACAAAAAAAGACTCTCCTCTAAACTTATTTTTTTTCATCTGTCTTCCAGTTCTGGGAGAGGAAATTCTGCAAACTGACTATGAACTCAGGAAAGGGAGGTACTTGAGAACTTGCTGTGCTGAGGGAAAATACAAGAGGTAAAACACAGTGACATCCAGAAGACTATGTGCTCAGTCACACAACTGTTTTGAAAGATGTAGCTCTCACCCAGGGCAGAGCAGTGGGACTGGAGGCAGAACACTTTTACCAACAAGTAGCATTTACAAAGAGCAAATGCAGGAAAGCATTTAAAAACTGTTAATATCAAATGCTCTCTTTGTATCAAAGCATCAATGTGTGGAGTAATTCCTTTGCATTTGCACAGAGAAAAGATTTGTCTTTTCTGTTTCAAGAACTGAGCAAAGGTGAAAGGATTTGTTCTGCCTTTCCTAACTCCTCTGCTGAGCATGTTTTTTTCTAGACAACTTGCACATTGAGTAGCATTTACTGTACTTTATTACTATATTTGCTTGTTGGTCTCTTTTTGCAGCTCAGCCCCTGGTATGCAATTAAAAGTTCTAAGTGACCCTGTTAACTTGCTAAGTCCTACAACAGCATCTGGAAATTATATCTGTCTCTCTAGGTGGATTCTTGGAAGAGAATTCACTATAACTGTAATTCCCCCTTTACCTTCCTTCCCAGGCTTATCTCCTCTGAGACCTGACAAGGAAAAGTAAAGACAAGCTATGAGACAATTGATATAAAACCTGTGTACATGTAAATCTAAGTTACTGCACATAAAAGGAAGGAAAATCAAAATTAGAACAGTACTGGGAGTTATGTGATGGGAAATCTGGAAGGCTTTTGTTCTGTCTTGCATTTGAAGCATAAAACAAGAAAATTGCAGGTAATGGGAATCTTGATGCAGGCAATGAAAACCAGAGATGTACAGGGGAGAGAAGAGTCAGTCTGAAAAATTTGGGAATAATTCTCTTTCTCTGAAATGAATTATTATTATATAGACAAAAATTCTTACAGTTAGCATGGGTAGACAAAAGTTTCAAAAGGAGTTCATGTTAGACAAAAGATATGCCTGAATCTTTGCATCAAAATAACACTTCTATGTTTACAGCTCAGAGTTAGTCATTAAAGTTTGCCAGCGTGCTCTGTGTGGGTTGGGAATAATGATTTCTGTGAGACTGTTATGGTCTAGCTGAGAAAAATAGTGCTTCTCATGTGAGTTTTGTCACTTTAAAATATATGTGCAGCTGAAACTGCCTGGAGAAATATTGGTTGTAGATAGCTGCATTTGGTGACTTGGACTGCTTAAGAAAAGGTTTAATAATTCACATTCTTTATGTAACATGTTATTGACTATGCATTAAACCCACACAAAGGTAGAGCAGCTGATGTGGCTGGAAGCCATTTGGATCCCACCTCTGAAATGGAGGGGAGGATTTATATCTAATCCCCTGCATCTGAAACAGAAATATGACTTCAGATCAGGAGTCGGGGCAGCAGCGCTCTGGTTGTGGTGGAGGAAGCTGGGCCATAATACTGCTTGAGCACTTTTATTATGGTGCTGCAGGGAACAGTGCCAGGCTGGTTTTGACTTCTCACTTTATCTGAATTGTTCTCCAGTATTATGACCTGCACTGTCTTAGTACAAGGGGTAGTAAAATCCCAAGCATGCAGCCCTTAGTATTAGCATAGCCAAGCCCCATGTAAAAACTCACAGTAAATCAGCCTCGCTGTGGCCAAACCACATGTAAAAGCAAGCTGTGAAACAGACCCAACATGGCCAAACCACATGTAAAAGCACGCTGAAAGGCACCCTCCACACAGCCAAATTACACAGAAATCCGTGATGGAGAGCAGTCAGGGTTTGTGTGTTTATTGAAATAACTCAAGGCTGTGGAGAATCCCCTTCAAGTCACCTTCTCTCCCACCTAAGGTCTGAGCAACTGGACAGACCCACTCCTAAGACTTAAGTCATCAGGTAGGAAAAGTGGCTCTAGAAAGAATTAAAAGCAGCACAGTGGATTCAGGGTCAACCTGCTGCAGGTTGGAAAGTAGTGAATGAGCAGAAGAATCAAGCTCAGAAGGAGCAAAGGACTAATTTTTACTTTTCTGCTTCAGACAGAACTGTTTTTGCTGAGTGATTCCCCTTAATACATCCTACTAATGTCTCTGGCCACTTAGGATAAGTCAGTCAAGGGCCAAAAGAAAACCCCATCTGGCTCCCTGTGATTAATCTTCCCAGCTAGAAATGAGTGAGATGCAATTAGTAATCCCATTTTCACTTGTCCAGACTTCAAAAAGCCATCTTAGGTGTTTTATTAGATGAGAGGGAAAACAATGAGAATCGAGCTTCCAGTTCACCGATGTTTTGTTAACTTATAATGCTTTTAAATGGCTTTTTGTGACACACTTCATGTGTTATCATCCCCACAGTCAATCATTCATGAAATATTTTGGGGGTTTAGAGACTTTTTCTCACAGTGAGTCTCAAAGCACTTTACAGAGGAGTTCAGTATCATTTTCTGAGTTATACTGAGGCATGAAGTGACCTGCAGGACATCAACAACAGACCCCGACGTGGAATCCGCATCTTCTGACCCCACATTTGCAGCTACTGAACATTATTCTCAGTTATCTGCTGCACTGAGAAGTCCCAATAACAGCTGCTGTTTCTTGCTCTCTTAATGGAAACCTGGCAAATAAATGCTGTCTGTGGGAGCAGGTTTCTTATATCAGTACAAAATATCCAATTCTCTGGGAGCCAAAGGAGGATTTCGTCGGAAAAGACTGCTCACAGGAGCTGGTAGGAACACATCTAAGGGTGTGCTCAACCAACAAGAGTTAGTTTTGCTTTTCCCTTGCACTGTTTTGTTTGAACATGTCGCTGTTTAATATGCCAGTAAGGAGTTTGGGAACTGACTTCTGTGAGATAATCCGGGATTCCTGGCCTTTGACACATGATGTGGCTGTTGAAATCAAGGTCACAGCTTCCCCCTGTGTAAAACAGCAAGGCTTGACTGGCTGAGGTGGAGAAGTTTCAGCATATGTGAAAGCCGAGGTTTTGCCTAGGGGAGTAAACTTGGATTCAGTGTAAGGGGGTTTTAATCTATTAAAACCACTTTTAGATTCAAAAATTAATTTGCTTGATCAATAGACTTTTCTTTTTCCATTTTCAGTACCCTGGCTGAGCAATCTGTCAGGATATCGATGCCACAACTTATTTACACACTTTGCTAAATCCTCTAAATGCAATATTTGACAACTCATTTTTCCCTTGCTCATTCCAGGCTTGTCTTTTCAATTGTGCCTGATTGAGCACTACTGAAAAATACAGAAATGTGGAGCCAGACTGGTACCAAGCAGTTCCAGGATAAGGTGAGGTGCCTGCTGGCCCACTGCATAGTTCTGGCTCATGCTTGCCCACTTCTGGTTCCATACATTAACTACGGCCCGGTGAAAAGAGGGTTCAAGAGCAAGCCTTGAAGCATGTTTTGCCATCATCTACACCTTTCCCACTCCTATGGAGAAAGGACTTGATTATTATGATTATGATTATTATTGTTGTTGTTGTTAAAATTATGGAAGAGTTGATATTTTGAGGCAGAACAGAAATTCTTTGCAATATATGAAAAGGCTCATTATTGTCTCTACGAAGTATCAGCTACTGTATTTACCATTAATGTGACATACTCATGCAAAATATTTTCCCAGGACACCACTGATGATGATAGTAAAAATACTCAAAGCAATATGTGAAATAAAACAGCCCTTGGTCTCAAAAGTGATCTTGCAAAGCCCAGTGACATTATAATTGCATAGCACAGCAATGACTCTGACTAGAGGGAAGAAGCAGGCAGCAAGTGAGGGAGGAGAACTATTGTATGGCATGGAAATCCTGGGTAAAATCCTGAATGGAGTTTTGCTATTGATTTGAATTGCTTTTTTATTTGTTTTAAGAGCAGTAGAAGACAAGTAGAGAGGAAAAGAACATGGAAGTGTTTGAATGTGGAACATTTGCTTTTGCTGTCTGGGATTATGGATTTATATTCTGTTCATTGCTTCTGTGCTGTTCTGCTGCTCCCTGTTATATCTGTCTGTGTGCTTTTACATGTCATTATCTGATGGGCTTTAACAAAATATGTGAACTTAGGAACAAAAACCCAAACAAAGTCCATATTTGCTCTTGCTAAATCTTATCTCTTTAATATAGAAGGGTAATCATGAACACGTCCACTGTGTGGCTAAGTATATTCCTTCTGTGTCTGAAAATTATAATTTATAATTGGCTTTTAACTATCTCCACCACCACCAAATCAACATGTATAAGTATTTTCTTCTGCTGTATGAAGCTAGAGGCTCTGCAGATCATAAGGTAGATTCCTATCTCCCAAAACACTTGTCACTTCAATGCTCCATCACATCGCTGTGGATAGAACTAGTTTTTTCCCACTTGCAACTCAGTGGGAAAATCTTTCCTGGATCTCAGCGAACGCCCCAAGCCAGGGCCTGATTTGGCAAGGTCAGACTGAAAACATCTCTCCACACTTACTTAAAGCAAGGCACGGCTCAAACCCTGCTTTGTCCAGCTGTCAGAAGCCTGAGGTGGGAAGTTACTTCAGCCACAAAGACACAGAGATTGATCAACTAGAAATACATCCATCGGAACTCGGGAGCTGAGGTGTCTCGGGATCCTTCTCTCTGGGCTTTTCAGCAACCATCCCTGCCAGAAATACAACAAACACCCATTCTTTTATTAGCCCCTTTGGTATCTAATAAGACTGGGTTTGACAGCTCCAGCTTCTGGATTGCTGCTGCAGCAGCCTGCTCTGCTTGTACGCTCTCGAGATAGGAGTCTGTGGGGGCAGGACCTGTTAAACACAGGGACACTGGCACATAGGGGCTCGCAAGTGTTTCCTCTTCGGTGGGAGCTGGGAAAGAAAATTTAGTTGTACTACTCTACTGCTCTCGTGAGTCCAGGGGAGAAAACCCATGAGGATAATTTAGAGACAGATAATTTAGGAGTTCAGAGCCACTGTGAGAGAGCAAGGCTTCTTCTGTCTTGCCCTGTTTACCTTTAAAAGGTTCAGAATTTAAGCCTTTACCCCTCACAAATCCTGAAAGCTGAAGGAGTAAGAGCAGAGCTTGACCATCTGTTCTTGGGCAAGAGTTGTAGAACACTGAGGAAATTGTGTTTCCTGACGTGTGAACTGAAGAGCTGAAGTAGGAGTGAAATAAATAGGAAATTCTATGAAAACCTACATGCAGAGAATTTTCTGACTAGCTGCAAGAGACTACCAAAATGGGAACAAATTTCCACTTCCGTCTAGCTTTTCTGCAAGTGCTAGGGCATAACTCAGACCTCTATTTAGATAAGTGGAGTGATGCACTGAACTTGTGCCACTTTGAGTCAGGAGCAAGAAGAAAACCCACCAAAATTATAAAAACATATGGTTAGGACTTTCCTCCCTCATTAAAAACCCCCTAACTTCAGCGACCTTGATACAGAGAACTTCTTTCACCTTAAGCCCTCCAGTTTCTCATCCAGTCTTCAATCCTTAGGATGTGCCCTTTGCCTTCGTCGTTATTTCTTGGACAATCAGACCTATTTCTTGTTTGCCTCTGGGGCAAATTACCTCAAAATATTGGCACTCGGGAAAGTTGGATGGATTTGCCTCCAGAAGGGAAGATGCCCAAATAAAAAGGAAATGTTTTTGAATGTAGTCTAATTATCCCTGTTTCTTTTTTAGTATCTCTTGCATTGTTTCATACAGAATTAGCCCATTTCCAGAAATATTTAATGACCCCATTCTTATTCTTGAATGGTTTTATCTCCAAGTCTGTGACTTGTATTTTGAGTACTCCTGAAAACAATTGAACTCTGGCTCCTTTGAGACTGCTTTATTCTGGAAAGATCACCACCAGACCCACAAGAGATGGGAGAAAGCCTGAAAGTGCTACTTCACAGTGGCATTCTTTATAACACTTCCCCCAGTGGCAGGCTTGCAGTAGTGTTGAACACAAAAAAAAAAAAGGTAATTAAGACATTTACATCAATCAGAGCAGTTAATCAGAACAAAATGCTGATTTCTGTCTCCTGTTCTGTCTCTCTTTGGATGGAGAATAGTTGCTGATATGTGTGCTGGACTTCTAATCCTTTAATGGGGGCACAGGCTTTTGAAGACTCCCTCTCAGAGGTGCTATTACCAAATATATGCTTCTAATTTAACTTCTCATGCCGTATTACAGTAGCCTGAAGCAATTTTAGGTGTTGGGTTTGTGAGAAAAGCCCAATGTTGATGTTTATCAGATGACCTTTTAAAGGGTAATGTGGGGGTTATCCATTGGCATGATTAAGACCATATGTAGCTGACTTTTCCCAGGCATTTCTTCCCGCTTTTCAAAATCCCATCTATTTTTACCCAAACTCAGCCAGGTACCTTTCATCTCTGGTATGTTCATGGGCATTACAAGATGAGATTGAAGCAAAGTGTTTACTCCTTTGGAGTCATTTCTGTTAGAAAAGTCAAGAAAATTTCCATGCGTAAGTACCTAATGTCAACACAACACTGTTGCAGATAAACCTCAACTTTCTTTTTGAACATTTCAGATGTTCTCAGCAGTTTTTCCTTTTTCTTCTCCCCTCCATTGTCCCTTTTTACAAAGGCTTCTCAAAAGACTATGAAGAAGTGACTTTTCTCTGTGACATTCAGCTTTTAGTGTTCACGAGATGACCTTGCAGGGATGTCCTGCTATGAAGCTGCTAGAAGACAGGGGTTTTGAAGAATCCATTATCTCTGTCACAGAGAAGACTGTGAAATTGTTATTTTGCTGCTTTAGAAGCTCAGTATTTCACTCATGGCTCGTCATGGGAGAGTCCTTGCTGAAGACATGTTGCTGATGTTTCCTGCAAGAATTGAAAACACTGTTATCAAAAATTGTGTTTTGTTCTTTTTCCAGACAGATGATCTTTGTGTTACTGGATCTCTGCACCACCAACTGGGATTGAAAAAAGAGATGGCATGGTGAGATTCACTGCAAAGCAGGGTTCAATACCAGTGGAGATATAAAGGAAAATATGGTGCTTAGATGTGAGGCAAGGAAGTAGGCACAGAGGCAGGAATTCAGAGCAACTATGAACCCTTTTAGAGGAGCAAATAAGTCAAGTACCTTATGAAGTCTTTAGGTGTAAAAACTGCCCTTAAAAGGACTTTTTCAAAGGATCAGGACTTCTGTTCTTGTAAGTAGCTTTCACAACCCAGTATTTCGAGATAAGGTTACAGCATGGATTGTCTAAAATAAATGCATCTTGGAGCAATTCAGTCTTTAGCAGCTGGTGATATTTTCTGCCCTAGATTTGTAATTCATTATTAGGAAGTACTAATTACTCCTCTGTCACCATCCACACTGCTGCTGAGACATTTTAGGAGATGCAATGGAGAAAAAACTCAAATGTTGTGTATATGCGGCCTTCAGAAAGAAATTAAGGGAGAAGTAGTATGTGTGATACCACTAAAGGTACTAATAATGCAGGAAAAAAACCCTTAATTCCTGCTGATTATTGGAGGTTTTTTTCCTAAGTATCAGATACTTCCTAAAGTCTGGTTTATGTGAAGGTAAACTGCAGTGAGACTGAAATTCTTGTACTTAGTATGAGGTGTCACAGTGAAATGTTGGGACTGTGACATAAGATATCAGAATCAGGGAGGCCTGGCTCTCACTTCCGCTTGGAATGCTATGAACAAGTGCTGTATTTACATCAGAAGATGAAGCACCCATTTCCCTGGGGGTAGCATGGTTTTGTCTCAGGATCATGTGCTGTTTCAAACCCATCAAGTTTCACGCTGGGGTTACTGAGGGCTCAAGCCACCGCTCATCAGACCCACTGTGGCAGCTGATCCTACAAGCCCTGCGCATGGCAAGTGCAAAAACCCAACTTCTTCACCTCTCCTCCCCTGTGGGGCAAAGCCAGTGGCACGGCTGGCATGTCCTGCAGGCTGAGAGCTGTGCACGTGAGCCGTCACCACCGCACGGCCAACGTGCGCTTACATGTTAAGCCACAGGAATGTGATTATGAGGCAGAGCTTTTCATCGGCTCCTACTACAAAGGCAGAGTGCTGCCCCACTGAATTCAGGGGCAAAACTCCTCTTGGCTTGGACATAGCCAACGTTTCACCCATCTGAGCGAAATGCCAGCCAGCCTCTGAGCCCTCAAGCCTGGCTGCAGAGGGTGGAGTTCATGACTTGTCTGTTCCAGAGGATCGGGAAGCTTTCAGATTTTGGAGGAGTTTGATCTCAGCACAATGACCACAAAGGCCAGCAGGCAGGTTTTGCCTTTTCCATGGCAGTAGCTGCTTATCTTAGAAAACATTACACAGGCTGAGGCTTGGCTGGAGAACACTTATGGATCTCCCTTTAGCCCAAATGTATGAATTGTGTTCAAATGGCTTGGGAATGGCTTGTCCATAAATTCCTGTAATAACACTGCATAATACTATCTCACCAGTTGTACCTCTCTCCCTGTTTGTGTTCCCCAGTAGCTTGCAAAAGCTATCAACATCAAATTAAGGGGTGGGATTTAGCATGGGGATTTGGTCTCCTTAATGTGAAAGAGGGCTTTGAAAAACTCAGTCTTAGCAAACAGCAGCTAATAATAATGATAACAATAATAGAGATAAGCCAATTCATATCTCCCCACCCAAAATATTTATATAATGAATTTGTTAATTGTATTTTATCATCTTCTCAAGGGTAGGTTGGTAGCCTTTGCTTTACAGCAGACCAAGGGGAGCTCTCGTGCAGCCTGATGCCAAGAATATGTGTTATTTCATATTCTGTTATTTGCTTTGGGTTTAAGGTGGTGAGAGGAAATTCTCCAGCAATCAGCCCTAAGTGATTTTGCAGCGAGCAAGTCTTTCAGTGCTTGAACATTGTTTAGCAGAGAAGGAAGTAAAAACCCCTTTATCTGCCTTTTATAATTCAGACATTTGCCACAAATCTAGAGAGAAGCATTAAAAAAAAAGAAAAAGCAAGCCCAAACATTCGAGTGTACCCAAATTAATTCCGGTGTCATTTTATCTGCCTAATTGGGCCTAAAAATAGCCTGTGGGAAGGAGAACCAGCAGCCTTGAATGTCTGAAGCAATTTGTATCAATTATTTCCCAATGTACCAGTTTCAAGTGAAAGCCCTTTCCTGAGTGCCTCCATTAGCCAGGTGTCAGAGCTCTCTGTTTTCATTCCAGGCTTTTCTCTGGGAACAGGGTGTGTGTGTGCACCAAAAAGCACCAAGGAGGAACTGGAGCCTTGGCGGGTCCAGGAGGGTGCCCAGAGCAGCTCTGCAAGCAAAGTTAGTGCCTTCACTCCTCTGTCATCACCAGTCCCTGAGAGCAATCACCACCCACCAACAGTTCCTTGAGATAAGCCCGAGCCAGCTGGGAGAAGAAAGCCTTTGATATTCCCCTGCCTTGCTGAGTAAGTATTCCATAACAATAATACTTTGAACTTTTACAGCACCTTTTCATACCAGGGTCTGAGTGCTCCACAAACATTCATTCCCCAAGCCTCATACCACCCATTCGAGGAAACCTTTTTTTTTTTTTTAATTGTCCCACTTTTTTTAGGCCAGATTTTCCAAAGAGCTCAGCGTCTATCGTGCCTGCACTAGAGAAATTATTTTCTTTGTGCAAAAGACCTGCAGTGTCTAGGTTCCACTTTAGATGCCTGTGGCAAATATCAGTAATGCTTCCCCAGCTCCTGCCCCAAAATGTTTGTGTCTCGGATTTCTGCAGGTCTACAAAAATAAAGCTCAAAACTTTGTAAACTGCTTGTCTTCTGTTTATAACCCACAGGAACCCTTGTGAGCCCCTGATGAGAAATTTTTGACAAAGCAAAATTTCATCACCACCCCCCAGTTTCACTCAGACTTTTCTGTTTTCTGTAGCCATAATTTTTTTAGCTGATGAACAGAATTACAAGAAATGCAGATATATTTGGTTTGTTCTTCAGAACTATTTTCTGTGGTGCTATTCTGCTTGGAAACAGAGCAAGAACGTACTTGTCTCAGACACAGACATACAATAGATAAATAAAAAGGGAGATGCTGCTTCCCAGATAGGCATTGCATTGTGCTTTGCTACAGCAGGCAACAGGATTAAACTTTGATTTTCATCTCCTGTCTGCTTTCTCAGTGAGAAAATACAGTCAAGGCCAATGCTGGAGTTGATCTATCTCTATGGAAAGTTGATTTTAAAGTAGTGCCAAATGTCAGTGAAAAGTCACTGTTAAGGTTTCCACAGTAACAATAACAGAGTCTTGTAGGGAGGGTGAGTTAAGAGTGCACTCTGCAGCCCAGAGGATAATAGAGGTGCCTTCCAGTTACTGGTCTGTTTGGGAAGTACACACATTTTAATTTCTGTGCAGCATTCACAGTATTTAGCTCTGCCCCCTGCCCCTTCTCTGGCCAGAGCATCCAAAGGGTAAAGCCTTTAAGCTTTACATGGGACACAGCATTCAAGTCCTACTCCAAAGTAGAACAATCCTCTGATGCCTTCAGCTCTCATTTCTCCTGATGCTACTGAAAATAATAAATCCCTTGGCCTGTTTAATTTTTGGGCACTGTAACTATGTTAGTTGGAAATACAGTTATCACTTTGTTCCTCTTCCCAAAGTCTTTGGTCATTCAAATCCCATGAATTTGAAGCAGATAATTCAGACGCTTTTTGCAGTGACCCTGATCTCTTAAAATTGAAAAGTAAACTTCAAACATACAGTTGCTAATCCAAGCCCAGCTTCTAATCTTTTGAGATTTGCCCATCACAAATCATAAGTGCAATGTGGATAAAAGGGGGAAATGCAGAGTGATAGAGCCAAGCTATCAAATATATCATCTCTTTGAGTAAGGCTGGGATAACATGGAAATAGGATATAACCTGCTGATTAGTTGAACTTCCTTTAACATGTACTCCTGGGAAAAGAGAGAGACACTGAAGACTAAATTAAAACCAAAAAAAAAAAAAAAAAAACCAACCAAAAAAAAAGGAGAAAGACAGAAGAAACAGAATTGTTTGAACAGTCTTTGAACTACTGGAAAGATGTGCCCTCCAAATCACTTTCTTAACTTTCCCTGTAATTCAACAGCTGCATTTCTCACAGCTCACATCTCGGAATGGACCAGCAGAGGTGACTGGGCATGAAAGAATAACACTGATGGAGGGTGTGTGTGGAAGGTGCTAATCTTTTGCCATGTGTATAGGTATGTAATCACTTAGCAGATAATCTCAGATTCTGAAAAGACAGCCATTCGTTTTAAAACAAACACCAAGCTCGCTGTTGCCAGGAAGCTCTGATCAGTTCATAATTTAGCTTTAGCTCTCAAAAAGTCCTCATTGTTAAGGTGAAAGGATGTTGAATTTGTGTAAATCAGAATAGCCTCAAATTTCTTGCAACTCAGACTGCAGCTGAGCATCAGTGTCCTCTGACTGAGCTTCTCTGTCACTGCCACCAAAAGGTGACTCTTCCCTCTGGACAGTCAGTGCATCAATAAGGCAACCGAAGGTGAAATGATAGAAATCAATCTGCCTCTCATTAGTGGGATGAATAGAAGCATTCCAGGAGAGGAATCAATGAAGGGGTGAGGAGATGTGTTAAAAGAGGGATTGAAGAAGGAAGTTAATACTTTTTCAGAGAGTTGAAAATAAACTTTGGAGGACTTTAGGATAACGGTGACTCATGAGCAGTGTGATGTACATTCTGAGTATAAACATTGCTGGATAAAACAAGTGCAGGCTCCTAAGTGAGGTAGGTTCTTTTATGTTTTTGGAGATTTCAGAGGGTTTTAAAAATGTTTTTTAAACATTTTTCATATAGTGAGGACGGATGTCTATAGGTGTGCTGGAACTGAGCCACTGAACTCGCACAGACATTCTGTAGACACAAGATGTATTTGTGTGTTTATGTTTGCCTGAGCTCACACACACAGGCCCACACAAATAGCATGAAAGCCACTCATACATATTTACTTCCCTTTTTACTACTAAGTAGAATATTCATTGCTGTATTTGTAGCCCAAATTACTTGCAAGGAGGAAAAAGTGATTTGTCTCTAAGCAGAAACAGAGATGAGGAAATTCTTCACTTGGGATGCAGTGAGAAGTATATTATTGAAGTGGTTCTGGAACAGCAAGTGTGGACACAAGAAGGGGTCTGGCTGTGCTTCTGGGAAGCCACTTTTCCCAGGCCAAGCACCTTGCATTTCTCACAACACAAATATGGCATTTGCTGCTTTTGGGCCACAGGCCAGCTCATTGCAATGCAGTGCTCCAGAGAGGGAGGCAAGGCAATTTGCCACAACACCTTTTCCATCTTGCTGCCTTAGCTCACTGCTGCACTTACAGATGGCCAACATTTGTGTCATAGACATTTATCTTGCAAAATAGAGACTTTTGTATAAGAAGTATTTAGTGCAGCAAAATATTTCCCTTAAATTTAAATTTTCATCTTGTTTCGATTTTTAGAAAATATTTTGAAATTTCAGATGTTGTTTTTTCTCCTTTTTGTCACCTTCCTTCTGTCTCACAGCCTGTTTTCTGAACACAGTAGATATTTGCCAAGGTTGAAGGATTCACTCTGTATGGGGGGGTCATTTTCTCTTTTTTGTTCCCACTTATTATTTTTCTGATTATTTAAAGCTTTGCCTATACTACTAGTGCAGTGCATTCAAAGTTTGACTAGCACAGGTTCTCAGCATCCTATCACACCTCTCCATGAACTAAGTACAAGACAAAAGATTATATTAGAATCACCTTTTTTTTTTCTTCTTTACCTGAACTTTGTAAAATTAACCAAATAGACAAAAAAATAGGTAAGCATTTCTTAAAATTTGGACATTGAGGTTTTTCATGCAGTCAGTGGCAGACAGAAACTAATATTGGGAAAGAAACAGAAGTGAAAAATTTTACAAATCTTTTGGGTGAAAGAATACACTTTGTCCCAGTTTGAACCCTGAAATATAAATTACTTCAAAATGAGATGAATCTTTAGATGATTCCACTAATTGTACCTTGTACACAAAAGTTGAGAGTAGGGTCTTGAAGGGCTTTGAGTGAAAAGCAGCACTTCAAGTTCACACAGAAACAAGAAACCTCGTCTCTTCACGCTTGGGTTACATCCCGAGTGAGACTGAAACAAGCAGCTTTCAAACTCCTGGTGAACTGGAATTTCTAAGAATATTTTCTTATGAATACACCAGAACATGTTGCTTCTAAAATAAAGCCTGTTTCCTCAGAGCTCCAGATCCCTGGGCCTGCAGCAGTCCTCAAGGAATCAAGATGCACATGCTTTGCTGCTGAGTGTATTTGAGATGTCCCAGTTTATTTTTTGGTGGGACTCGTTGCCAGGCTCAGTGGCAGTGTCTAGAAATCAAGATGAGATCTTTCAGCACAGTGAACCTGTATTTTACAGCTTAACTTTGCTTTCTCAAAAAAAAAAAAAAATGGAGTGTGTGGATTTTGCTTCTCTCTGCTTAGAGCATCCAAGATACCTGTTTAAAAATTATATTCGAGATTTTGACTGATTTCAAGGCTCTGATTCCTATATGTCTCATGCTTTCTGCTTGTGGGTTTAGTATTTTGTAGTGACACAAACTATTTCAGGTCCTGCACAAGTACTATGTAAAAAGAGATGGATTCTGCATGTCCTTCTGAAAGGTTTTTAATATGAAGGAAAAAGCTCGTTACGAGAAAGAGAATATGCGGGGGGTGACAAGTAATTATTCCCACAGAGTAAAAATGAGGTATTTATTCCCAAACAGAGAAGTGCATCAGCTGTTTAACTAGAAGAGTTCATATTTTTATGTGTGTCTTGCTAAGATGCTCGTGGACAAAGCTTTTTGAGAGCAGTTCTAGAAAGCTGCTCTTGCATTCCTTAGCATCCAGACGATGGTTTTACACCACGTGTACAAGGCGATTAATGACCTCCTCTGCCAGATTTTAATAATTTGCGGCTCTTATGAGCAGCTGGTGGGTTTTTTGGCCATCCACGTGAAAGTGGGAGAGGCTGCCAGTGGCCATGGTCACCCACAGCCACCCAGGGCTGTGTGTGTGCCAAGCACAGGGTGGTCACTCTGGTCACCCTGCCGGGAGCAGTGGCAGCCGCAGAGCAGCTCGGGAGGAAACGCAGAACAATCAGCAGGGAAATCCAACCCACAATAACAAGCTGGCCTCCACGAAAAAGAAAGGTCACTGCTTGAAAGCCACTATTTGAGAGGAGGGGGGAGTTGAAAAAGAGTGAGCTGAGTAGACTCAATGCCTCTGTGGTTCCAAGGAATTCCTTTTTTGTAAGGAAAACAATGCAGCAGAACAATGCGGATACTTGCAGCGCTTTCGAGGCAGCAGATTAATTTATTTTTTTTTCCTTATAGAAAGTAAATTGGAACTGCTTCCATAAACAATAGGCACTGACTACGGAAGAAAGTGGGAGCTTTTTGCAGAGATTTAAAAATAACCAAAAGTAAGGAGCGCACTGGCAAAATGTTCTGTTTTCCCAGAGTAACATGGAAAACTCCACACAGCCTCAACATTTGAGGAAGAGAAAGGCTACGAAAGCAGATTGGGAGACATAATGTGGTAAACTTCAAATCTGCCAGATTTTGTTTTCGAAGCCAGTGTTTGATGATAGGTTACCTCATGATGGGAATTGCATCGCAGGCTTTGCCAGCTCTTTCCCCAAACATTCAAAATCTTTCAAAACATTGTTCTCCACTAGACCAGTTTATTCCAACAAATTATACTACCGTGTGCTGTGTCCCAACTCAGTCTGGTGCTTAAAGCTGCCCATAACTGAATATTCATTAATTCCAGGCAAACATCATGGCTTGTTGTGCTCATGCCCTGGCACAGGGTGCAAGAACACCACACCAATAAAGCACACTCAAAACTCCCAATGCATTAACCCCAGCAGCTTTAACTTTTTAAAGGTATTTACTTAACTTTTTTTTTTTCAGTTGATAAAGATAAAGCAGTGTTGGTGGTGTTACCTGATTCCTGATCTCTTTGATTACACCAGTGCCAGCATTACAGTGCAGCAGTCCCACTGCTGGAGAGGATCCTTGTACTGGGAAAGCTTATTTGATTTTTCTGGATGAAAATAAGCTGACCAGTATGCCCTAGTACACTGGCCTTGGTAAAGAAGATTTGGTCCCTTAAAGCAGCATTTATTTGTGTGTAGGCAAGTCTCCAATGAGTTAATAGTCATAAAAATGTCAATATTACAGCCAAAAGGCCTTTATTATCAGATAGATGTTGAGGAGAAAAAGACACTGATATTTCTGTGCTGGCTATCTTTGTTGATAAATGCAAGTTTAATTACTCTCCATAGCTTTCATTAGGCCTAAGTGGCTGTATGCTTCTTTATTCCCTTCTCCCATCAGAAATATAACATTGCTGAGAAGCAGTTGAAATTTATAGGTGTTTCAGTATCAGTGTCCAGCTTTTCTGTCCCTTGCAGTTGTGCCTCAGTCTGCATGTTCTAGTTTTCCTTTGACTTTTGTAATTGAACATCTCTGAAGTTCAGAATGATTATAAATTACTTTGGGGATAAAAGTTTTGTCCTGTGAAGTTTTCTGGCAAATTGCTAGTTTTCAGCAGGGAAAAGCTCATGATAACTGAGCTCTGAACCTATTCCCATCAAGGTTTAGGCAGAGCAGAGACAACTGTAACCTGGTTTCTTTATGATAAACCTCAGAGAACAAGGTAAGTAAAGGGATTCAGAGGTGCACAATCAGCATGAATCCTGGCCCTTACTGGTCTCCTGGGTAGAACAACCCTTAAATTCAAGATCAGACCCTTTGTTCTCCTCAGGCCAGCCCTGAGGGCTTCTCCCAGGGTCCCTCCCTCGGGACTGTGGGATGGGCACACACCTAGAGCCTTCCTTCTTGAGAAACAGCAGAGAAGCTGGACTGTACAGCTGCTAGCAGAAAGTTTGGGTAGGATTGCTGTGGCAAAATTTGTGATGCAAGCACAGGCTTCAGTGGTGATGCTGACACTGCCAAAAGGGCTCACTCTCACCTCTTGCAGGCTGCTGTGGCATCAAAGTTTGCCTGTGCTGATGAGTGTGTGCAAGCCAGGAAAGTGGAATCAACTCTGGACCAGATGAAAACCTTGCCACAGCATGGATGGAGACTGGGCCAACCCTGGCACATGGAAATAGACCTGTGCAGCTTAAAGGTCAGGTAAACTGTCCAGAGTGTGTGCTCAACATAATCAGGTGGCCTTCAGGTCTTCAGGGCTAATTATTCTTGCATCTTCAAAGCTACAACCTCAGCCCCCCCTGCCATGTCTTGCACATTAGAAAACCTGCCAGGTAATCCAGTCAGTGTGAGGAGGGGCTGCAAGGAGGTAACCATCAGGAAAACATGAAGATTTCAATAGTTTCTGAATCCTGAGGAATAGGAAGGGGTACCTGAGCTAAGCAATAGAAAGCATGGTCATAGAGAGGCTGGGATGTTATGATTTAAGGTAGCTTTGGTGAGTAATTGTAAAAGTGGGATAAAGAGACAAATAACTCTTTATGTAAGACATGACCTGGGGCATCATGCCAGGCTATCACTTCCAGATTTGGAAGGATTCAGTGTTTTGTATGACATGATGGAAACTTTTGAAAAATAAGGTTTCCCTTGCAGTACAGGTGAGTGACACCTGGAAGTTTGTACACTGCGATCTCTGTACACCTCTGTACACCTCTCCTTCCCTCTCTGCTCTGTAGGCACAACACAGTAGCAGCAGCAGCAGGGAGAGGAGGATTTGTCCCAGTGAATACACAAGCTGTATGAGGATATCTCAGTAGGCAGCCCCCAAGCTCCAGCAGGACCCAAGGATCCAGGATCCAGGTACTCTCAAAAGCTTGGATTGTAATGACTGAGACCTGAGGACCCAGCATTGTTGGAGAACAACAGTGATTTCCAGCCATCTCTTTTGTCTCACTTCCAGTGCTCAATCAGTCTAATTACTGCTGGGGCTTTGCCCATCCTGTTGTGAAATGCTTCAGGGGTTAAAGAAAAACAACAACAACAACAAAAAGATCAAACTGTGGTCTAAACCTCAGGAGGAAGAAGGCATCTGTCAGGACAAGCTCTTACCAGAAATTGTATAAAGAATCCTTGTTTACTGAATCTTTCAAGTCTGTAGCTAGTTCAAAGACACCTCACAGTCCTCCTCATTAGAGGAGCAAAGGAACAGAAAAGCCCTCAGTCTAACTCATTAAAAGCAGCAGCTTTGTGTGCTGTGGTGTGGCAGGCTTTTGCAGGTTGGATTTTTTTTCTTTTGCATCTGCTAATGGTAAAGTTCTTTCAAAAGTGATAATTCCACCCCTGTATCGAAATGTGAGCAAAGGGGAACCTTCTGTATTGGACTTGGATTTATTCACATATTTTGTAAACAGCTTGAAGATAACACAGTCAGCGAGTGAGTGTGCCAGGAGTTACCATGAGTGATAAAAGATCTTAAGGCAGTTAGAAGGCAGTTTTCTCTTCAACATACTCATTTTTCTTGAAGAATCACGTTAGAGCAGAAAAGAGTTACAATAGCATTGCAGTTCCCTGCACAAAAAATACCCAGGGAAGTGAAACAACGGCAGAATGGTGGCATTCACCTGCACCTGAGAGCATCAGTTGAGGGAAGAGGGCTGAACATTGCAACAGCTCCTCCATTTATCAAAAATGATAGTAATGACAACCAGTAGCCTCCTTTTCCAGAACACTGAGGTAGGGTTGAGGATAATAACCTGGAGGGGCTTGAAATTTCTTGCAGCCAGGTCTCCTCCTGAGCCACAGCTGGCAGGACACCTCCTGCACCAGGGTGGTCTCTGCTCACTGATCTCAGTGAAAACTAAATCGGGTACAGGCACACTGCAAAATTCCTACTTTAGATCCCACTGAAGCCCAGCTTTGGTTCTCAGGCATTTCTCCCCCCTCCCATCTGTACCTTGTATTGTTTCTGCAGGGGGTTCATTATGAATTAATTCTTTCCACTTTTTTTCATTTCCAAAGAGTATCAGTTGACGCTCACAGCCTCTTCAGTGCTCCCCAAGCTTCATATTACACCTGAACGCTCATTTTCACTGCCTGAAGGTCTTTTCCAACCTAAATGATTCTGTGGATCTGGCCTGTACTTCAGCTTAAAGGAAACACTACACATTGATTGAGTTTTGGAGGAAAAGACTGGATCCTTCAGCTGTAAATTTATCTTGTGTTACGTCTTCAAGGTTCATTCATATTATACTTTGCAAATTACAAAACAACATTGCTATTTATTAAAAACAATAGTGCTCTCGTAATTTTGATGGAAAAACAATGGTACAGGGGGTGATGATTGTTAAATACAACTCCCACATCTTCCCCAGGGCCTGGGCAGAGTGAAGTGGAGCTTAACTGTGGAGTCTCCCTGATCCTTCCATGGATATCAGCATCTGCAGCACCTGGGATCCACAGCAAAATTCTTTCCTCCAGAGGCCAAGAGCTGAGTCTATAATTTCAACCAGGGTAATCACTTCTCCGAGGCAGTAACAAGCACTTCCCAAGAGCAGCTGTTTAAGATGGCTCAGAAGCAATGACAAGAACATGAAGAAAAGTTTAGTCCATGAATCTGGCTTCTGCACATGGCAGGGAAGAGACACCTTTTGATAAAACACCACTGGACACTTTGTTTTTTTAATTCTTCACGTCTGTCTGTGCTCCCACTATAATCACCCCTTGCACTATTATTTTGTAAAAAGATATGTAGGAGGTAAATTATGCCTGCTCAGGAAGAAGAGATAGATTTTTTTTTTTTGGTCGTTTAAAATGCAGCAGGTATGTTTTAAGCCCTGTAAACACACCAAAAGCTCCAGAGTTTGTACTGAAGTTTTCTGCAGGCACTGATTTCTTCTGCACTTCATATTAACAGTGCCCTGAGGTACCAAGTAGGCACAGTACTGGGAGTGGAAGAAGCAGATTTGGAAGATGCTTTGGGTAAAGCTCAGAGAGGTTTTTTGCAGCCTTCAACTGCTGCCCTTGCGCTACAAACTGGTCTGCTGTTGCCATCTGCTGGAACCATCCATTATGGATTATTCCAAACACAGTGAGCAGGAGTGTATCTGTTCTTATTACAGAAATACTTGAGGCTGTTTGTGCTTTCTAAGACAAGCTTTGTTCCCCTGTAGGTCCTGTATGATCTGCCAAAGAACTGTGTATGCACCAGACTTAATGTACAGTGAACACACAGTTCATGGGCAGAAACTGATTTCTTACATACTCACATCATGCTCTGCACAGTGAAACATCTTCAACCAAGACCAGTGTAAGAGCAAAACCATTCTTCCATCAAATGTCTCCAACTATAGAGAAATATTACCCTTCCAAAGGAAGTTATCCTTCCTCTCTGTTGCAACTCTTCTGTTTCATGGCATCATAGAATGGTTTGGGTTAGAAGGGACCTTAAAAACCATCTAGTTACAACATCCCTGCCCTGGCCAGAGACACCTTCGCCTCACCCAGGCTGCTGTGCAATGCCCCCAGGCTGGTTACTTGAGTGGAGTAATCCCTATTGTCTGTGCATGTTCACATGGAGACCACACAAAATTTTACACAAGGAAAAGTCCTAAAGATCCTGTCCATCCTGACACATTAAATCTAGAATTTATTTCTATTTCTACATTGCTTACAGTTATTTCTTTCTCAAATTGTCATGCCTAGAGAAAAATATTTCTTCAGCCCGCTCCTATGGGATTTTCAGAAGCATTGGATATAATTTCCTTTTCCCTCAGATATCTTTTCCTCACAGCGGGAGTCTTCAAAAATCCTTTCCTTTTCTTAAAGGTTCTGTGGCTAATCATCCTGTACAATGTAAGAACACATAATATAGTGGGACAGGCGAAATCTCTCCTTGCTTGCAAGCAGCCTAAAGACAGACAGGTTGCTGGTTGCCACAGGCATTCTTAACACCATGTCATCAGGCCCAAATCTAATCTATGAGGTGTAATTGCCATGGCATTAAATCCGTTG